ATGCTAGAGCAAAGGGCAGAGTGGGGTGGGTGGCATCTAGAGATAAGGCTGAATTGTTTGGCAAGAACTAAATGGATTCAATGTCTGTACTCCAAGCAAAGGAATCTGGAGTTTTTCCTGAGGGTCAAAGGTAAACCAATGACAAAGTTTAAATGTTGCCCCTCAGTGACTACTATACAAACTGTAACTGCTTGACTGAGTATTACTAGGTGAGCCAGGCTACTTGGCCTGACCTCACTAGCAAAAACGTGAGAAGTGGGTGCAGCCCAGTTTTCTGACTAGAGTTTCAGCGTGCAGGCTGACAGATCTGCAGGTATGGCAGAGGAAAGGAAGGGGAAAGCCAGAAATGAAAGGAGATACATGGACACAGGAGATTTTTAAAAAGCTATGTAGCATGAGAAATAAATGCAAATAAGTGTATTCTTCCTTATGAATGTTTATGTGTTCACATTTTTCATTCCCTGTGAATGAGAAAATATTTAATACAGTATCTGTTACTCAAACATGGAAATGGATGCTGTTTACTATTCAGATTGTTTCAGAAATCAATGATATCAAAATGTAATTAATAAAACATGGCAACATACCTTCTTTCAGTTCTCTAGAGTTTTATCAACCTTCTGTTGCATCTGAAAGAAGTCAAATATTATATATAGTATTGAAGTTAAACAAGAGACATTATCATAGGAATGACATATAGCTTATGAAATATATCCTTTAATAATTTTATTGAACTTTTATTTATTTTTAAATAATTTCATTTATTTATTTTTAGACATGGGGGAAAGGAGAGAGAAAGAGAAGGAAAGAAAATGTGAGAAACATCACTTGGTTGCCTCTTGCACGTGCCCTGACCAGGGATGGAACCCACAAGCCAGGCATGTGCCCTGACTAGAAATTGAACCAGTGAACTTTTTCAGTTTGTTGGAGGACACTCAACCAACTGAGCCCCACTGCTCAGGACTGTGTAACAATTTTAGAGACTAGACCTAACTTGGGAATTGTGGAAATAAATAAATAAATAATCACATAAATAAAATCAATTCTCACTAACTTTTGGATAATAGAGAACATAGATATGTAAATGCCACTTAGATTAATCTGATATAAAGTATAATTGATATTGATCTATTGAATAAACATGACTTCAGAAAAGTGATGTTTGATCTTATTGGTAAAAAGAAGCTTAAACAAGTCAAGTCATATTTTACATGTACTGTGTTATTTTTCAATTGTTAAAAAAAATGCCCTTTATAAAAGTTTAATCAGGGACTTCTGGTCAAGATGGCAATGTAGATAAATGCAGCACTCACATCCTCCCACAACCACATCCTCCCACTCCCACAACCATAAATTACAGAACAACCAGCACTCAGAACTGCCTGAAATCTAGCTGAATGGAAGTGCTACAATGAGGGATTCAAAGAAGCCACACTGAGACTGGAAGGAGGGGCAGAGACGGGGAATGGGCTGGTTCCACGTCATTGTTCGGTGGGTAGATATCAGGAGGGATATCTTGGCTGCAGATATCCTGAGAAGTGAGTGGTTCCAGCCCCACAACAGGTTCCCCAGCCCAGGATTCCAGTGCCAGGAAGAGAAGTCCCCATAGCTTCTGACTGAAAAGCAGTGGGGATTGAGGCTGAGTGAGACAGAGGACTTCTAGAGTCCTGAGTCTTCCCCCTTAAAGGGCCCACACACAGACTTTCTTGTACTCACTCTCTTTGAGCTCCAGTACTGGGACAGCAACTCAAAAAGCAAAAGAGATATCCAGGGAGGAACTGAATTGTCTGGCACCTGGGCAAGAGCTGAGGGCAGGGGCAGTTTTCTCTCATACAGAAGTGCTAGCAGAGGCCATTGCTCCTTTTCCAAGACCCTGACCCACTACAGAGTAGGCAGGTGGGCACCATATCTGAGTCTCTACCAATCAGACAGACTCACAGTATTTGCCCTGCCCTGGTGATTCCCTGAGACCCTATCCCACCCAACCAGTGGGCCCACCTAAGTTGTCTCTACTGGCAACTTTTTATGCAAATGGCCTGTCTTGCTCATGCTTTAGACTTTCCCAAAATACTGCAAACAAATAGCATCCAGTCTTAGCATGCCCCATACTTCTTGCTAAGTGGCCCCAACTTAGCACTAGCAGCAGCTGGCCTTGGTTTGCATTTTGTCCTCACCTAAGTACCTCTAAGCCCAACATAAGTAGCAGCCATCTGCAGATCAATTTGCAACTCATGTCAGCTGGGCCTGAGAAGAACACAGGGGGCAGCTGACCTTGGTCTGCACCTTCCAGGAGGACCCAGAGATGGCGCACCCATTGGAAAGCTCCAGACCACACTGAAGCACCATCCAACCATTCCATAAGTGACACACTCAAGGGGCAGACTCAGCTGGCACTAGACCCCAGTTAAGTAGGTCCTGCTCTGTGGGGTGGGCTGCTGCACAGCTGACCCTCCACAGTGGTCAATGGTCACAGCCAGTCCTTGCAGCTAAATGGCCTAGGGGTAAATCCCTCCCATTGATGTACCAACAACAATCAAGGCTCAACTATAAACAGAGGGTGTATACATTCCACACAAGGGGCACTCCTGGAGTGCCAGCCAAGCTTGTGTGAGTGGGGAGGTTGTGCCACTGGACCCTACCCTGTGCAGAACACCTACTGCACAAGGCCACTCTACCAAGCCTGGGAGACACAGCAGCTCTACTAATACATAGAAGCAAATGCATGGAGGCTGCCAAAATAAGGAGACAAAGAAACATGGCCCAAATGAAAGAACAGAACAAAACTCCAGAAAAATAACTAAATGAATGAGAAGGGCAACCTACTAGATGCAGGACTCAATCACTGGTTATAAGGATGCTCAGTGAACTTAGTGAGAACCACAACAGCATAAAAAAAGCACATGGAAACCATAAAAAAGAACCAGACAGAGATGAAGGATACACTAACTGAAATGAAGAATAATTTGCAGAGATTCAACAGGGCAGTAGATTAAGCCAAGAATCAAATCAGTGAAAAACAACACAATCAGAACAGAAAGCAAAACAACACAATCAGAACAGTTCTCCAAGGACAAGGCTGAACCTGCAGCCCCAGCAACACAGTAGCAGTGGAGGAGTCTGGGTACAGCCCCCAAACCACAGTCCAGCACCACTGCTTCCCCCCTCAATCTAGACCCCTCCCCAGGTGCAGCCATGCTCCCACCACCATAGACCAGGAGCAGCAGCCAAGACAAGGCCTAGCCACTGGGCCACAGCACAGCGCTGCCAGTGACCACAGAGAATGAGGTAGCACCTCAGTGGACTCACAGACTGGTTCTCCTCACCTGGCCACATCCTTCTGCCATGGTGGTGGTGCCCTGAGACCCAGACGACAGGATACAGCACCGCCACCCACCACGCTGGTCACCCAGGCAGCCACTCCCAGGTGCAAACGTCCAAGGCTAGGCCTTCCACATCTGGACTTCCCCTGCCCTCAGGCTTAAGTAGCAGCAGTAGGAGAAAACAAAAACTGCGCTATAGCACCGTCTACTGGAAAACAAAAGAAAGAGCTCTAATTATCAACCTGCTGAATTGTGAAAAGCAAAACGTTCTTGATAAAAAAGTGTTCCCTACCTCAAATGCGCCAGTAGAGGGACGACTTGTCAAGCAGCCTGGACTGCCACGGGAAGAGTAACACAGAGAAAAGGACAATTCTCCAGAAAGAAACTCAAAGTAGCAAAAACTTGTGATGGAAATCATGGAGAAATCAAAATAGCAGTCGTGAAGAAATTCAACAATATACAAGAAAACCCAAAAGGCAGGTCAGTGAGTTCGGAAATGAAGTTAATGAGCAGAAGGAGAACTTTTCCAAGGAGATAACAAATATGACAAAAAGTGACAAACTATAAAAAATAACCAAACAGAAATTCTGGAGCTGAAAAATTCAATTAATAAGGTAAAGAATGGATATGTTAAAATATTTATACACAAAAACTAGTTGCTATTTCAAGACTCCCTATCATTGCCATCTTAATCATCAATAATTCAAAGGATGGCAAGATATACAGACATAAGTGAACTTCATTTAAAAAAATCAAATAGTAAAAAAATTAATTTAAGTTAGATTGTAGGCTGAAAATAGATAGGGGGAGAGCAAGAATAGTATGGGAAATGTAGAAGCTAAAGAACTTATGACACACGGACATGAACTAAGCAGGGGAATGTGAGTGGGAAGGGGTGTGCAGGGCAGAGGGAAGTGAAAGGGGGAAAACGGGACAGCTATAATAGCATAATCAATAAAATATATTTAAAAAATCAATGAAAAAATTAATTTAAAATATTAAAAATTCAAATATTTACCTAATTTAACAATTTAGAAAATGGATTAATTCCTCAGCAAGACATTGTATAATGATTGAAATTAAAATGCTGTTAGTAAAATAGCAATTAAGAATGTTCTCTCACATAAAAAGATGACAAACTTTTCACTTAAAAACAGAAATTAATTATTTCAGTATTACAAGTTTATTTAATTCATAAAAAGAGTTTATCTCCATTCATTTAAATAACAAATACCATGTATGGTCAAGCATTTGAATGTCACTTACGCTTAGGGGTGGGAAATCAGGGTGCAGCAAAACTTTAAAAGCGTTACGAACCATCACCAAACTCAAATCCATTACAAAGTAAGCCAGAACATCTCCAAGTATACCACTGGTTATTAGGCAATAATATTTAATTCTTAAAATCGAACTCAAATGTAGCTTTTTAAAAATTTTAAAAAGTGTCAGTTTAGTTAACGTTTGTTGAGTAAAGTTCATGAAAGGTCTATCATTAAAATGAGAGAGCTGGGGACTTACAGATTGTAAAATTTGTATCTCCTTTCTATATTAGCACAAATAATTAAGACTTTTGCTTAGTGTGCATTAGTCAAGATTAAACAACTCAGATTTTTACCAAATTAAATATGAGAATTATATCAGAAATCTGAAACGTAGGGGGAAAAGGATAATATAACTAACCTTCACAACGACGTCAGGTGAAGTCTGTGCCTTTGAAGTGGAAATTGCTAACTTATCTCTCTGAGTAGGATTTCTATTGAGCAAAAAATTATCAAAATTTCCACCATAAGTTGTCTCCAGGTCTGGCTTTGGATTAAAAGTGCTGAGTGAAGATCTATTCTGCGGTTTCTGCGGGAGAAGCTCAGTGTTGGTCTCTGCAAGAGTTTCCTTAGTCCTGTGAAGGTTGTAAAAACAAATGCTCAGTATTTCATTTTTCCCTAAGCGACTTGCATTTTTTTAAGTTGCCACCAATAGTAAATGGAATTTCCCATTAAACAGCATTGTAACACTGAAAATGTCTGCGAGCAGACCTACTATAAGAAGTATAGGTTCTAAATTGTTCTAAAGAAGTATACACTCGGAAGGTGGGAGGAGGGATATTCCTAACAACTCTCAGCAGGGAGGGAAGAGGAATGGCTGTCAGCCATGTATGTGGCTTCTCAGGTGATACTTGCTGCCTTCTGGAAAAGCCGTACTTAAAAGATTCTTAAGGATGCCCTTGGATCTATTTAGTAAGCCAGTTTAGATTTTTAAAAAAAAATCCCTCACAGATATTGCCAAATGTTTGCTTTGTACCACCTTTGTACAATACACTCCTTACGTTGGAGATTTTAACCACTTGCCACGATGCTTAATTTAGAGCAACAAGCTCTAAGGGAGACCAGGATAGCCTAGCTGGTGATCAAAATGAACTGAAAAAGGCACTGAAGGTGGAATCTGTCCTTTCTGTCTTCCACACCCCCCCTCGGACAGGCCACCTGATTATTTTTAGTAACTTTGTCAATTATACAGCCTTTCACCCTTTGTTAACCTTTCCCTATTTAACATGTATGCCTTTATGTAGACTAGAAAAGCAATAAAAGACAGTTTGTCTCCAGGCGCCCTCTGGTGATAACATAATAACAAAGATTGCAACCAAGAAAGTAAATTTACAAAGTCCCAGAATATGCCCAGTACTTAATCCTCTGGGTTTAAGTTGTTATTTTCCAAAAAACAGTTGAACTTGTTAATATTTCTATTTAGGGGAATCCCGACAAAAAATTTATAATAATACTACTGCCTAAATTATAAAGTTTCAGAAACACTTAGCTTAAAAGACTATACATTAGGTTAACTATGAAAATATTAAGGGGAAAAAATAAAGTAATGTAAAACCAAAAACAGGAGAGATGCAAACTGTTCTGGAAGAACATTTGAAAGATAAGTTTATTTACTACCATCATTTTCCAAAATTACACTACTTAGCTTCCACTTCCTACTAATCTCATAGCTCAATAAAAATTATTCTTTAGAAACTAATTAATGAGGTAAATTTATTTTCTCTGATTCTGTGTTTTGACTTACTTGTTAAGTTCATTTCTCAATGACTCTTTACTTTCTATTTCTTTTAGATAGAGTTGTCTACATTTTTCCAAATCTGTTTCTTTAGAATCATGAGAAGTTTTTATTTTGGGGAATTTGGATTCCAAATGATTACTTCTGAGTTCCAACTGCCTTTTTGCTACAGCATAATGAATCTCTTTTAACTCCTCCAGATTACCTTGAGATGCTGCTTGTGACTAAAACAAATAAAAAGGATACATTTTTAAAATAAGTATAATCTGAACAATTACATTTGTTTTCTTTAATTTTGAGTCAAAGATTCAGAGAGTAACTTTAAACGAAGAAAAAGCTGAAGTATAAAATATTTATTATGAGGTCAACTAAATTAAGTCTAAATTATAAAAATAGTTAAATCTTTCATACTCACATTCTGATAATACCAAGAATAGACTCAATTTTAAAATTAAACAGTATAATTAATAATGGTATAATTTTGAAATCATAATTTATTCTTTTCTTCCTAATAATTTTGTTTTATATCAGCTGGTCTTTAAAAATAAAATAATACTCTAGTAAGAATCATTCTGAAAGATCGATTTAGTGATAATAATGATGGAAAGTAGAAATATTTTTGAAAGGGAGAAACATTCCACCATCCTTCCTGAAATTTACAAAACAAATTGCTATTAAGAAAAGGAAAAACATACAATGTATATATCCAAAATGTAATTTGCAGTAAAATGAATTAAAGCAAATTAAAGATCAATGAACTGACCAGTGAAGATCGACTGACTTCTGATTTTGCTTCTATATCCCGTCTCACTCTTTCTTCAGCCTTCTGGCGATACTGCTCTCCTTCACTGAATTCTGTCATATTCACTAGCATATGTCTTTTGAGGTTCACTGCTTCTTGATTCAAATTCCCTTTTTTATTCTTTAGTTGTTCATATTTCTTTTGTAACGCTTCCACAGATACTGACTCCTGTTGAAGACATTTATTTTTTTTTATCCAGATTTAGACATTTTGAAGATACAGTTACCAGTTTTGCTGTACGATCATCATTCTGCATGAACACAATAATATTGTTTCATTATGAAGGTGCAGACTGAGAATAGTCTAAGTCAATACCGGCATCAGATTTTGAAATAAATTCAGTTGCAAAAAAATGTTATAGGCACTGTAAGTAGAGACTTATAATGTGAAAGTTCGAATTACTCAGAATCAAGAGCAAAGTTAAAAAGACCAGGAGTCCCCCAAAATATCTTTACTGTCATCGTCTTTGCCACACAATGTCTGCACTTGATTTTATACATTTCTCTATGACTGTTTCATGTCTTCCTCCACAGAACGACTGTGAGCCACCTCTTAGTAGAAAGTCTCTTACCTCTTCTTCAATATTAATTCTCTGTAATCTTTAAATATGTTTTAGGGATGTCATATTAAGCTGTTTAGGCCTGAGTCAATGAATGCCTCCCAAAATAAAACTTTCAAAATAAGACTCTAATTAATAAATCTTATAAATATGGATTCTAATGCCCTAAAACTTTTTTAGAGCTACAAATGTTTGATATTAATTTGAATTGCATTCCAAGAAGAAATCCTTCTTGGAGTTAAAGACAAATCCTGGACTTCTGGCCAAGATGGAAGCAAAGGTGGAACGCACCATGCCTCCTCGCACAACCAAGATAGGGACAACAACAATTAAGAAACAGAATAACATCCAGAACTGATCTAAATGGAAGTCGGACAACCAAGAAGTTGAAATAGACTTGCTCATCCAGACCGGTAGGAGGGGCGGAGTCAGGCAGCCAGGCATGGGTCACGGCGCAGAGAGCAGAGAGAGTTGGGACAGGGTGTGTAAGGCATCCGGGGCATGCAAGACCACAGCAGGTGGACCCTGAACATGCAAGCGGCAGCTGGCAGACCCTGGCCAAGGAGTGGCAACCAGCAGACCCAGTGAGGTGGCAATTGTAAAGCAAGGCAGTGCGCACAACCCAGGATCCCAGCACTGGGAAATAGAGCCTTGGGACACCTGTGGGAGTTGAGGTGCACGGAGAGACACCCAGCCTCACAGGAGAGGTCCTTAGAGGGTCCCATGGCGTGCACAAGCCAACCCACATGGGAATTGGCACCAGAGGGGCCCAGTTTGCTCGGGGGAAGCAGCAGAAGGGACTGAGGTCCCATGGAGAGTGGAGCAAGCGCCATGGTTCCCTCTTGACCCTGCCCCCACATACAACATCACAACCCAGTGACTGGGGTGTCTAGCCCTAGTGAACACCTAAGGCTCCACTCCTCACTGTAATAGGTGCAACCAGACCAAAAAAAAAAAAAAAAGAGAGAGAGAGAGACAAAGAGAGAGAGAGAGAGAGAGAGAGAGATGGCTCAAACAGAAGACCAAATGAAAGCCCCAGAACCCATCCTTTTAAGCAACCGAGAGATAGCCAACCTATCAGATGCACAGTTCAAAACACTGGTGATCAGGATGCTCACAGAACTGGTTGATTTTGGTCACAAATTAGATGAAAAAAAATGAAGGCTACAATAAGTGAAATGAAGAAAACTACACAGGGAACCAATAGTGATGGAAAGAAAGCTGGATCTCACATCAATGGAGTGGACCAGAAGGAAAAAAGAAACAACCACACAGAAAAGAATGAACAAATAAGAATTCAAAAAAATGAGGAGAGGCTTAGGAACCTCCAGGACATCTTTAAACATTCTAACATCTGAATTGTAGGGGTACTAGAAGGGGAAGAGGAGGAGCAACAAGTGGAAAAGTTATTTGAACAAATAATACAGGGAAACTTCCTCATTCTGGCAAAGGAAATGGACTTCCAGGAAGTCCAGGAAGCTCAGAGAGTCCCAAAGAAGTTGGACCCAAGAAGGAACACACCAAGGCACATCATAATTACATTAGTCAAGGTAAAAATGAAGGAGAGAATCCTAGAAGCAGCAAGAGGTAAGGAGACAGTAACCTACAAAGGAGTTTCCATCAGACTGTCAGCTGATTTCTCAAAAGAGACCTTACAGGCAAGAAGGGGCTGGAAAGAAGTATTCCAAGTCATGAAAGGCAAGGACCTACATCCAAGATTGCTCTACCCAGCAAAGCTTTTGTTTAGCATGGAAGGGCAGGTAAAGTGCCTCTCAGATAAGGGCAAGTTAAAGCAGTTCATCATCACCAAGCCCTTATTATGCAAAATGTTAAAGGGACTTATCTAAGAAAAAGAAGATAAAAAAAAAACATATATAGTAAAATGATAGCAAACTCACAATTATTAACAACCACACCTAAAACAAAACCGAAAGAAACTAAGCAAACAACTAGAACAGGAACAGAACCACTGAAATGAAGATCACATGGAGGGTTAGCAACAGGGGAGTGGCAGGAGGAGAGAGGGGGAAAAAGTATGGAGAATAAATAGCATAGATGGTAGGTAGAAAATAGACAGGGGGAGGGCAAGAATAGTATGGGAAATGTAGAAGCTAAAGAACTTATGACACGTGGACATGAACTAAAGTGGGGGAATGTGGGTGGGAGAGGGTGTACAGGGTGGAGGGGAGTGAAGGGGGAAATGGGACAACTGTAATAGCATAATCAATAAAATATATTTAAAAAAGACAAATCCCATTTTCTACTGTAAAAGTTTAGTGAATTGAGCAATATACTTTTTAGAACAACAACAAAAATGACCTAATTCAGTAGTGCTATCTTCTAATTCTTTATATTTCCCATAAAATAAGAGAACACACTAAACAACAGCAACAACAACTTGCTGGAAATTCACTGATACTGACTTGGGATGAACTACTTTCCTTTAAATATAATGATTACTTGGTAAGACAAGGTGAGTGATGCAGAGTTTTTAAAACATGTCTAAAAATTCTTTGGCACACCTCCCATGAAACAGGTGCTGGCCTTAGTAACTGGTTCCTGGAAAATGGAATGTGGTGGGACTGCTGGGTGATGTCCGTGTCTGGGTGATACAGCTTCCATCTGACTTTCTCTCTCTGGGAAAGCTCACCCTGAGAACCCAGCCATGCTGTCAGGCATGCAGCAGCCCAGGCCACACACAGTCAGTCCTCGTACGGGTGTTCCAGCTGGGACTGCCCCAGCTACCATCCCAGCCAAGAGCCTACTGCAACTGACAAACATGTGAATGAACAAGATGAGTCTAGTTCCCAGGTTCAAGTCATCCCAGCTGATGGCAAGTGGTAAAGAAATGTGCCGGCCTCACGGGGTCTAGTGTAACTGGAGGTTTGTGAACAAAACAAATGCTGTTTTGAGCCAGTAGGTTTAGAGGTGATTTATTAAGCAGCAATAAATAACTGGCACAGATACTGATATTAAAAATAGAGTGCTGCCACTAAAAAACAAAAACAACAAAACACCATGCACCTGTAGGAGTGCCTTGAAACAGGAGGCAGGTAGAACCTGAAGTAATGTGCAGAAGCATGAAAATGAAAACCAAAAGGGCCTCCTACAGATGCTTAGTGGAGGCCTGATGGCCCCTGAAGAGCCTGACAGCAAGGGCTGCCAGGCCAGTGAACAGAAGTCCCCTGAAACCTGGATGAAAGGGGACTCTTGTCATGAAGCTGCTGAAAGTAAAATCAATGCAGAAGATGTGCTAAAGAAAGACTATTAGCCCTGGTTGATACGGCCCAGAGGATTGAGCACCACCAGTCTGTGAACTGAAAGGCTGCAAGTTCAATTCCCAGTCAGGGCACATGCCTGGATTGCAGGCCAAGTCCCCATTTGGGGGGGTGTGAGAGGCAACTGAGAGATGTATCTCTCATACATTGATGTTTCTCTCCCTCTCTTTTTCCCTCCATTCCCTCTGTCTAAAAGTAAATAAATAAAATGTTTTAAAAACAATTAACTATAAAAGAACCAGGACTTATTGTTTTCAAATAGCCATTTCTCCTTGATAGCTTTTCCCACATGTTCGACTGTCAAGTAATGCTAAAATAAAGACCAGGCTTCTAGGCTAAGATCAAATCCAGGTGTAGCTGGATCAAATTTGGATCAAATCCAAACATCACTGTATTTTAAGTTCTAATAAAATTTTATACTTCAGGCAGATGGCAATGGAGGTGGTCTCTTAGTCAAGTTACACTGAAATCATTCTTCCGTACCATTGACAATGGCAGCCAATGGGGAGCATGGGGCCCAGGCTATATCCCCAGCACTTCAGAAAGCTTTCACCAAGGCCACTCGTCAATAGTACCTTTCTGCTTATAACAATTTATAACTTACTTCCTCTCTGTACTACTCAGTGGGTGATAATCACAAACAATGCAGATAGCTCCTCCAGGGTTGAGTGCATCATACACATGACCTGACAGGCAGGGTAAAGCCACTGACACGGAAATAACAGGCTTGATGCTAAATCAAAGTTCCCAGACCCACTCATCCCCAGCCACTGGTTATGTCGGGCTGCTTAGGCAAGTACTCTGATGAGCAGATTAAAGTGATGTGGAATGGCGTATCAGAAAAGCCCTTCCCAGAGATTTAAAGTTGGTAAAGTGCTATAAATCTCTAAATCCCAGTTGTGGCTGCACAGTGAAGGAAGGCTGATTTCTATTTTTTCCCCTTACATGAAGGTAAAAAAATGAGCTTCTGATTATACTTAATTCCAACTATCTATTATATTTATACTTAATTGCTTCAAATACATCAAGAATAAAAGTTTAATTATATCAATGTCTCCAAGAAGACAGTATTGGTGTGATATAAAGTAATTTTATCCTAACAATAGTTAAGCTAAAATATTTTCAATTCACTTGTACATAAAGATGTGCCATCATATCAATAATGTACCCCAGAGATAACTTTATACTTAGAAAGATAAGATTATCGCTCATGGAAAAACATTAAAGCAATGTAAAATTCAAGGCTAAATCGTTCTGCACAGATGAGTGCTGGAAAGAGTGAGGTCAACGAGAGTTAGAACAGTCAGAGAACGCTTCATGGAGAAGGGAGGTTGGGAGCCAGGTCCAAAGGGATGTCGGATTAGGCAAGAGGAATAGAAACTGAAAAGACAGAATGTACAGCATGAGTAAAGGCTGAGAAATGCTGAAATCAGCCCAATAAAATCCAATGGCAGGGAGATAAAAACATAGGTTCACACAATGACCTGTGCACTCACGTTCACATAAGAGTTATTAACAGCCAGGAAGTGGAAACGACACAAAGTTCCATCACCTGATGAATGGATAGTTGGCTTAGCCACACAATGAAGTATTGTTCCACAATACAAAGAAATAAAATATTGATGTGCTATAATATGGCTGAACTTTGAAAATGTGACATTAAGTGGAAGAAGCCAATCACAAATACTGCATGTTGTGTGGTTCTACGTATGTGAACTATCCAGAACAGGCAAATCTATACAGACAGAAAGTGCACTGGTTGTGCCTGGTGGCAGGGGAGATGTAAAGCTGGGAGTGACAGCTACAGGATGTGGAGTTTGTTTTTGGAGTGATGAAAATGGTATATAGTTGAGTGAGGTGAAAGATGCATAACTAAATATGTCAAAATATACCAAAAGAACAATTAAAATGGGCAACTTATATCAATACAATTTTTTAAAAAGCCAATGGTGGATCTAAATTTAATTTTCTTGTCAAGTTCTGGCCAAGATGGAGGTGTAGGTAGAAACCCTTTGCTTCCTTGCACAACCAAAAGGAGGATAATGACCAATCTAAAATCAATAAACAACCAAAAGTGCCCCCAAATCAAAATGCATGGGACTCTGACAACCAGGGAATTAAGGAAAAAATCAACCAGAACAACCAGACTGGTAAGGCAGACCACTGCGGGACTCAAAATACCACCACCACCCCCCACTCCCCAGAGACAGCTGAGGGGTGGGGCTGACTGCTGAGCTCGATGGAGCTGTGCAGGATGGACTGACTTAAGGGGGAAACTGAGACTCTGAGCTGACTGTGGGCTACAGCTGGGATTGCCACAGCAGAAGATACTTTCAGTCTGACAAAAGAGTCTGTTGGAAAATGCACTAGAGACGAGCAGGCAAGCTGCATTGTTCTCTCTCTGGCCCCTCCCCCACAGGCAGTGCAGCAAAGAGGGTTGCCCTGCCTGGTGAATACCTAAGGCCCTGCCCCTTACAACTTATCAGCTGCACCAAGACAAAGAAATGTGGCCCAAATGAAAGAAAACAGCAAAATCTCAGAATTAAGCGATGAGGAGATTGCCAACCTATCTGATGGAGAATTTAAAACCTTAGTAATCAAAATGTTCACAGAACTGATTGAGCTTGGTCAAAAAATAAAATAACAAATGAAAGATACCCAAAATAAAGTAAACCAAAATATTCAGGGAACCAACAGTGACAAGAAGGAAACCAGGATTCAAAGCAACAATTTGGAACAAAAGGAAGAAATAAACATCCAACTGGATCAGAACAAAGAAACAAGAATCCAAAAAAATGAAGAGAGGCTGAGGGATTCCCTGGGACAACCTGAAATGTTCCAATATCCAAATTATAGAAGTGCCAGAAGGAGAAGAATGACAGCAAGAAATTGAAAACTTATTTGAACAAATAATGAAGGAAAACTTCCCCAATCTGGCAAAGGAAATAGACTTCCAGGAAGTCCAGGAAGCCCACAGAGGCCCAAAGAAGTTGGACTCAAAGAGGAACACACCAAGGCACATCATCATTAAGTTACCCAAGATTAAAGACAAAGAGAGAATCCTAAAAGTAGCAAGAGGAAAGGAGAAAGTTACCTACAGAGGAGTTCCCATAAGGCGAACAGCTGATTTCTTAAAAGAAATCTTGCCGGCAAGAAGGGGCTGGAAAGAAGTATTTGAAGTCATGAAAGGCAAGGACCTACATCCAAGATGACCCTATCCAGCAAAGCTATCATTTAGAATGTAAGGGCATATAACGTGCTTCCCAGATAAGGTCAAGTTCAAGGAGCTCATCATCACCAAGCCCTTATTATATGAAAAGTTAAAGGGACTTATCTAAGAAAAAAGAGATCAAAACTATGAACAGTAAAATGACAACAAACTCACAACTATTAACAAATGAACCTAAAAGAAAAGAAAAACAATGAAAACAAGAACTAAGCAAACAACCAAAATAGGAACAGAATCAGAGAAATGGACATCACATGGAGGGATTTCAGTGGGGAGTGGGAAGGGAGGAATAGGAGAGGAGAGGCACAGGGAAGAGGAAGCATAATTAGTAGGCATAAAATAGATGGGGAGAGATAAAAATGGTATAGAAAACACAGGACTCAAAGAACTACGTGTACAACCCATGGACATGAACTAAGGTTGGGGGAATGCTAGAAGGGTGGAGGGACAGGGTGCAAGGGGGATAAAGGAGGAAAAGTTGGGAAAATTGTAATAGCATAATCAATAAAAATACTTAAATAAATAAATTTAATTTTCTTAATTCTCTGTTGTGGATGTGCATACTACAATGATCTGAATTATTTCCATGCTTTTGCAATGTTTCAAAGTGAGAGAAAATGAAGGAAATGCCTACTTCAACTGGTTTGTATAATGGTGTCTCCACACAAGTCATTATAAAATCTATGAAATAAATCCAGATTCCATATCCATTCACAAAAGTGAAGATAAATAAAACAACTTTCTGGAACATTCCATTAAACATTGTCCTCAGATTTTATCTGTCTGCCTCATCATGATAATGGAGATATCACTAAAAATATTGCTTAGTAGAAAAAAAAGTGTCTTGATTTCTATGAAGAATAAGGCATAATTCTCAACTTTCCTAAGGGTAAGTATTATAAGTATTATAAGAAAAAAACATAAGTACAAATGGCAGAATAAGAGCCAGGGATTTAGAAATAAGTGCACTATAAAGATAATAACATTATAATAAATTAATTACAATAAAAATAAAAAGAAAGCTGCCCATGAAAATTAGTATCCTAAAATATTTTGTATTATTTAATCAGCTGTAGATTAACTGATGAGGTACTAAATTTCATACATACTTGACTTGTGCTTTGATCTAATTTCTTCTTTCTATCCAGTGCTTCATTTTCTAAATTCATATGAGAATGTGATGTAGTCTGCAGTGAAGCCTCTGACATAGATTGATTTTTCAGGGTGCCAGCCAGTTCTTGGTGAAGTTGTCTCACAGTTGCCTAGTAAGATATTTCTGTTACTGATTTTATAAATCACACTATATTAACTTATGTTAATAATATATAACTTCACATACAGAGTGGAGCAAAAGAAGGTTTACAGTAGTGAATATGCACAACAAAGTTTATTCTTGTAATATTATTTATTAATTATTGTATTATTTTCCATATGAACAACTGTAAACCTACTTTCACCCTACTCTGTATATACTTTGTTAGAATCATATATTATTAACATAATATATAACAGGAAAAACATCACCACATACATCAATTCACTTTCTTTTCTTCATATGGACACATTCCTTTTTACTAGGTCATCTGGCCTTGACCTCCCTCCCTGCTATGCATAAACCTTGCCACCCCTCACTAGTCTGAATTGGAGAGTCAATGCCAAATTAATAAATCACAGAGAACTACCATTCTCTCTGTACCATGCAAATTTATCTCCATATGATAGTAATTGGGTCTTGAAATGAGAAATATGAGCAAATTATTTGTAGAAATATTCAAAGAAAATTGTAAATAACAGTGGAAAGATTAAATCAAGTATAATTTTGCTAAAACTCATTACATTTGTGTCAAATTATGATTTAATAAAAAGTAGATGTCTTTAAAGAGTTGAAAGGTCATAGGATTACATTACTCAAGACTGAAATATTTCTAAGTTTAATTCAAATTGACATGAATAAAAATAACATTATACCAAATAAAATGTGTAAGAAGTCAGTGAAGGAAAAGTACTATGAGATACAGAGGCTACACTTCAGTTCATCTGGGAAATCTGAAATTAACTGTCAAGATAATCCATTTAATTGAAACTTAATTTCAAAATACTCATTTTAGGTATGAGCATTTCCATTTATCTGCTTCATAATGGTATTAAAATATGGTGACAGATAGATAAAAATTAATATGTTATCAGCATGACTAAATTATTAATATCAATCTATATCTATTAACATCTGTAATTTAATGCTTAAAATTTCATAGGCAACACAATGTCTTTACTCAAAACTAAACACCTCTCAGGTCTAATTTTCCTTTGTAGGATACAATGTCTGCTTTTAAGCTGATAGAGTAGACACAATAATAATCTCTATATTTTCAATATTCAACTAGATTCAACATTTAGCTATCATCAAATATTTTCCTATAGGAAATTTGAAAAATATTTATTTTTTTGATACTTACATCTTTTTCTGCTTTACTGTTTTAACATTCATGCATTATTTCTTTTAAACTATTACATACATTGATTAACTTCGTATTTCTTTCATTCATCATAAGAGCTTGGTTTTCACTTTCAGCTTGAAATATTTTTATGATAGCCTGTAACTGATCTTTGAAATCAATGACTGTCTTTTCTCTCTTGTAAACTTCGTTGTGAGCATAATCTAGTTGCTGCCGAAGCAACTCATTTTCACTCTGTAATTGAGATAGCCTCTCCTCTAAGGAGCCCTGCTTTTCAATGTATTTATTCACTTTATTTTGTTCCTTTTGATACATGTGTTCAGTTTCCTTTTTTTGACACTGTATTTCTCTTAGATCTCTCTGTACCCCTTCTAAAACCAAAGTCCTTTCTCTGAGAGCATCTCTTGTGTGCTGAAGCTCAGTTTCTAGGCTACTGAATTTACTTTCAGCTTTAGAAAGTTGTTGAGAAAGCACCTTATTTCTATCTTCTAGGTCAGACATATCACAATTCATTTTGTCCCATAAACGAAACCATTCATCTCTTGCTCTCTGGAAATCACGTTGCAGGTCTCTTTTTGATGTCTCACTTTGCTCATGATCCTGTACAGCAGTAGCCAGTCTGACCGGTATGATTCAACTTCTGTTTCCAGTCTTTCTTTGTCTTTTTTTACAGTCTCTAGTTGAGACTTTAGTATTGTGTTCTCAGCTGTCAGAACATGAAGCTGCCCATTACATTTGGATATTGTTTTTTTAAGTGTTTTCTCATTCATTTTTATTGTCTTTTGAAGAAAATCATTATTTGCTTTGACAATAACAATGTCCTCAAAATATTTTTTTTCCATTTCCTGGTTCTGATTTTGTAGTTTGTCTATTTCCAGTCTTAGTTTGGCAATTTTAGCCTTCAACATGTGCTTTTCATGCAACAGACTTTTTCCTTTTTCATAACTATTAGAAACCTAAGTAAAACAGAGGAGATGTGTAACTAACACTCATTGAAATGACATATCATGGTATCCTCTGAAATTAAAGAATAACCTATATGTTTATATAATGAGAAGGTTGCAATAAGTGGATATCCCACTGGAAAAACAGAGTTGGAGCCAAACCTCCAAATTTGTACAAGTATAAATTCCTTAAAGTTCAAAACTTAATATAAAGTGATGAATCCATGAAATTAAAGAGGAATTATAAGAGAAATTTTAAAGAGTCTCTGAATTAAAAAGGTCTTTCTCTGAATTACCATAAACCCAGAAGGCATAAAATAAGACATTAATAAATGTAATGTCTACACTTAAAAATTGAATGTACAGCCTGAACATACAGCTCTCCCACAGTAAGAAAATTAACTCTTCTTTTTTCCTGAGAATATTCTATAGATATTCTACTTTTATGGTATTTTTATAGTATGCTTTTGGTCTCATAACATTAAAAAAAGGTCATAAGTTTATGAGCAGAACCTTAAAAACACTGATAAGATGTGGTAGCCTTTTTAACTACAAGGATCTTATCTTCCATGAAAAACTCAAATATTAATTTAAATAACAACTAAATTTGTCAGAGAGCAAAAATACAATATAGAGAAATAAAAATCTTTTTCAAGAGTTTTAAAATTTATTTATTTTTAGATAGAGGGTGAGGGAGGGAGAAAGGGAGGGAGAGAAACATCCATATGTGTTTGCCTCTCATGCACCCCTTACTGGGGACCCAGCCCATAGCCCAGGCATGTGCCCTGATTAGGAATTGAACCTGTGACCCTTTCGTTCACAGGCCAGTGCTCAATCCACTGAGCCACACCAGCCAGGGCAAGAATAAAAAAATTTTTAAAAGACATTTGACTACTTCCATTATGATCTCAAGGCAATTTAGCCTGCATGTTAATGTTTCAAAAGACAAAGTTAATATTTATGTTAATGGATAAGTTGAATTTACCTTCCATTTCTTCATTTAAAATACATAAACGTACTTCTATTCAAGATGGTGGTGTAGGTGAATGTGGCTCACCTCCTCACAAAATTACACATCAAAATTACAACTAACTTACAGGAAAAGCATTATTCTAAACCACCAGAAACAGAGCTGAATAGAAGTTCTATGACTATGGAATTAAAGAAGAAACCACAAGGTGACTGATAGGAGGGGTGGAGTTGTGGAATGGGCTGGTCCCACACCCACCTGTGGCAGATAAAAATAGGGACTGGTATCTTGGGAGCAAGGCATCCCAGACTCACACCAGGTTCCCCAGCCCAGGGTTCCAGTGCCTAGAAAATAAGTCCCCTAACTTCTGGCTGTAAGTACCAGAGGGGAGTGAAGCTGTGGGAGACAAACTGCTAGAGTCCCAGGCAGTTCCTGTAAAAGGTCCCACACACAGACTTACTGAATTCACTCCCTCAGAGCTCCACCTCAGGAGCAGCAGACTAAAAGGCACCAGAGACATATGGGGAGGAACTGAAGTGTCTGGAACCAGGGAAAGAGCAGGGGGCAGCTTTCTCCCATAAAAGTGTTGGCAGAGGTCATTGTTCTTTTTCTGGGCCTTCCCTCAACAGAGTGGGCAGGTGGGTGCCATATATGAGACTCCATCAACCTGGCTCACACTGTTTTCCCAACCCTGGTGATTCCCTGAGGCTCTGCCCCACCCAACTTCTGGGCCCACCCAAGCTGTTTCCAGTGGCTTTTCCATACAAATGGCTTGTTTTGGGCTCATGCTTCAGATTTTCCTAAGTTCTCACAAACAAGTAGCATTTGGCCTCAGCATGCCCCATGCCTATTGCTAAATGGCGTAAGGCCCAGCAAGGCATCAGCTGGCCTTGGTTCACAGCTTGGAATCACTTGGGCCCCTCTAAACCCAGCATAAGTAGTGAATAATTGCAGATCACTTTGTAGCTTATCTGTGTGGCCCCAATCAGAACACAGGCTGTTGGTTGGCTGACCTTGGCCTGCACCTCCTGGGAGGTCCCAGAGACTGTGAACCTAGTGGACAGCTACAGACCACATCAGAGCACCACCACCCAACCACCTCTATAAGCAACACACTTGAGGGATGGACTCAGAGGGCACCAGAGCACAGAAGACATAAATGCTCCTCTGCGGAGTGGACCTCTGCATATCTGATCATCCACAGTGGTTGGTGTTCAGTAGTCACAGCCAGTCTGTGCAGCTGATATGCCTGGGTAAATCCCTCCTGTTGACTTGCCAACAGCAATCAAGGCTCAACTGTAAGAGGAGGGTGCACACAATCCACACAGTGGGCACAACTCGAGTACTCAGCTTGGGGGATAGGGGAGCTGTGCCACAGGACCCTATAGGATACCCACTACATTAGGCCACTCTTCCAAGCCAGGGAGCCTTAGCAGATCTACCTAATACATAGAAACAAATGCAGGGAGGCTGCCAAAATGAGGAGACAAAGAACCATGCCCCAAATGAAAGAACAGAACAAAACTCCAGAAAAAGAACTAAACAAAGCCCTGGCTGGCGTAGCTCAGTGGATTGAGCACAGGCTGTGAACCAAAGTGTCACAGGTTCAGTTCCCAGTCAGGGCACATGCCTGGGTTGCAGGCCACGGCTCCCAGGAACTGCATATTGATGTTTCTCTCTCTCTCTCTCTCTCTCTCTCTCTCTCTCTCTCTCTCTCTCTCTTCCTCCCTTCCCTCTCTAAAAATAAATAAATAAAATCTTTAAAAAAAAAAGAACTAAACAAAATGGAGACCGGCAATCTACTAGGTGCAGAGTTCAAAACATTAGTTATAAAAATGCTCAGTGAACTTAGTGAGAACTTCAACAGCATAAAAACTTAAAAAATAACCAGACAGAAATGAAGGCTACACTAAATGAAATAAAGAACAATTTACAGGATATCAACAGTAGAGTAAATAAAGCCAAGAACTAAATCAGTGATTTGGAATATAAGGAAGCAAAAAACACCCAACCAATAAAACAAGAAGAAAAAAGAATCAAATCCAAAAACATAAGGAGCCTCTAGGACAACTTCAAGCATACCAACATTCATATCATGGGGTTGTCAGAAGGAGAAGAGAGAGAGCAACAATTTGGAAACCTATTTGAAAAAATAATAACAGAAAACTTCCCTAACTTGGTGAAGGAAATAGAAATACAAATCCAGGAAGTACAGAGAGTTTCAAATATGATGAACCCAAAAAGGCCCACACAAAGACATATAATAAAAAAATGCCGGGAGAGGAAGATGGCAGCCTTGCTGTAGGCAGCGTTTTTCTCGGCTTCTGTGAAGAGGGGGGAAACTCGCCGATCGGTGGAGAGGCAGAGCAAGTGGGCTGGGTTGCCGAATCACTTTTGAAAGCAGGACATCAGAAATTATTGGAAAACCAGACGGTAAGAAGATGGATACAGGACAAAAGGGGCCCAAGAATCAGCGCGGGCTCTGGGGTGCGCAGACCCCAGGCCCACCCGGTGCTCCGGGCTCTGCCCCAGGGATCCCGGGAGAGGGAAGTTGCTGCTCCCTCCCTCCCCCGAATACGGGGGTGAGCAACTCCAGGGGAGAACGGGTTGCTGGAAGGAACAGATTGGCCAGTTGGACTGAGAAAAAATCGCCCAGGGAATATGAAATCCCACCCAGAGGCCGAGAAGTGAGAGCCTCTAGCCAACAGGACCAGGGGCATCTTTAGCCCGGTGGAAGTGCAGAGCGGTAGTGAGCACAAGCCGGCCGCGCCCCATAGGGAGGCAGGAATCGCGCGCTGCGATCCCAGGAGGGACGAGGGGCTGGGCGCGTTCCTTCAGTGGTGGCTCAGAGATTTCCAGCCAGCCCAACCGGAGAGCCGGGAAAGGCGCCAACAGTCCGTCGGAGAGCCGTTTGGCGGGGAACACTGAGCTGGAAACGGCTGGGCTCCCGCACCTTCATCGGGAAGACACTCTCTCACACCAGTGTGTCTTGGAGCGCCCCGGGTACCTGACAGACTTGCTGAGTTCTGGTTGTGAGAGAGAGAAGCATTTCAAAGGCCCCTCAGCCAGCTGAAGCTAGCAAGTTCAGAAAAACTGGTCTGGCCAGTTAAAAACCAACAAGAGGTTTTTTGTTTGTTTGTTGTTTGTTTGTTTGTTTTTTGGTTTTGTTTGGTTTTTACTGGTTTCTCTGGCTGTTGTTGGTTGACTGATTTTATCTTGTGTTTTATGTGACTTTTTTTTCAATTCTCATTATTTTTATATCGCAATCCCTTATGTTTCTCTTCCATTCAACCTAATATTATTCTTTCCACTCCAAATTTAGCTCTCCTGCACCACATCTTCTGCTTTTCTTTCCTTTTGTTTTAATCTTGCAAGTTACTGTAAATTTGTATTATCTTTTTCTCACTTTTACGACATTTTTTATTTTAATAATATTTTGGTACTCTTTTTCTTTCTGTATAATCTTCTTTGCTTGGCTGGTTATACTGTCTTTTGATAGGTTCCCCCTGGTATCTCAGTCACAAGATATTGATACGTTACTATCCTTCATCTGCGTTCCATTAATACACTTCTCAAGGTTCTATACTCTTTATTCTTGTTATCTAGACCTCATCGATTCTGCCACAAGACTGTCACTTTACTATTACTGCTAGTAAGACCTAGTCTATACAATTGTAAATGCTTCTCAATACCCCCTACCTGATCTCAGCCCACTTTGCAATTTTCTGAACTATACTATTGTGGGGGGTTGTCTCTATTCTGTTACTCACTACTTCTATATACTAATCTTTAGTCCAACCCTACCTTAGAAGCTGACCTCCCACAGCCTCACAGCTTTCTAGATCCAACTAACAATCCTCTCATCCCCAATAAGAGTCTTACCTTCTTTCCATCCTTTCTAAAACATGAATAGGGGGGTGGAGGATCACGGCTACACTATAAGGAGCCAAAGGATAACCCATCTCTTCTCTACTGGCTGCTAAAGTAAATATCATAGTATACTATCTTGCTGTTTTAAGCCATTTTGCCTTACTCCTCCAAC